ATCATAAACTTATGCGTGAGTAGGACAATTTTGAGGAGATAAAATATCACATCTTCTCGTTGGAACGGAAGGGGTTTGGGTGTGGATGACAAGAAAGATGTGATGTGTGGCAGGGGTAGGTAAAATTTAATTGGCCACACCAGGTATCGTGGGCGCTTATATGGGATGACAACCCCTCTAACGAGGCAAAGACCTAGTTTCCCACTTACAGGCCGGCAATGCATCATAAATAATAAATGCCGCTCTTTGCCAACCTACTGGCATCTGTTAAGATAGACATATCCTCATTTCAATAAGATATTACATCTAATTTCATCAAATCCCTAAAAATGGCAGACAACCAACAGGTTTTAGCAAGGTTCGGTGCTTATGTCCTTTTTACCATGCTTGCACAGTAGATAAATTCAGCTACTAGAGGCGAGTTACTTCACGCGAGCGGGAATGAATCAAGCCGCACACCATCGACAGACGTACTCCAATTTTCGACAAGTTCCAAGACCGTCAGGATTCAGCAGATAAAGGGTCTTGCACGACCATATCGAACATGCCTGACGCGATGCTCAACCAACCCAGCGAAGTTCTCCGTCAATCCATGATTACTGGAGCCACATTACTCTACCCCTTTAAAGAGTTTACCCATCGTGATCTGTTCGATTCAGACGTGCACAGGATACTTCTAGAATTATATCCGCGGTGGAGACGATACGGATTTTGGGGAGAAGTGTTTAGCCCTGACCGAACGCGCATTACCTCTCTTCAGGGTCTCGCTCTCCCACGAGGTGTTTAACAGAGTTGGAAGCCAAAAAACGGCCTGTCAATGACATTCTCAGGAAAGTATCGTACGTCGTCCAGCTTCGGTACTATGATGAATTGAAAGAACATGTCCCCGATCCGACCGAAACTTTCCTGAAATATTTTCACCAGAACGATTGGACAACCATAGAGGAGAAGGAACAAGATTCGCGCAGCGAGAAATTTAGAAGGCAAATTGCTCTCGGCCGGGATTGGTTCGCAGCAACCGAAAAACTCTCATACGGAGTGATATTCTTATCCGGCAAAATATTGAGCACTATAATGTGAGCGGTCCCTACTATAAATTGCTAGTCGCTATTCTAAGTGGTTATAGCCATAAGAAGCATCAAACAGGATACCTTGATCCCTTCCTGTTTGACATTGCGCAACGATACCCTGAAGCTATCGACATATATAAGATGCTCGATAAGGCCGTTAGGAACCTGCTTGCTTGGCCATTTAAGCTACCAGATTTAGATGTTGCGTGAATTATTGATCAGATTGACTCATATTACCAAGAATTGAACCGTCTGCATCCTCAAATTGACTCCAGGAGGCGGACACCGAAGAGAAATAACAGGAAGAGGAAAAGGGCGTGAGGTGGGCACCTGAGTTGTAATTAGGTCCTTTAAATTGGTATATCTCTTTGAAATATCCTTGAAATTAACTAGACATCAACCCGTCGCCAAAAGGCAAACCAATCTCACATTTAATTGACGCCCTTGTAAAACTGGCTTTTGGGACCGCCAACAATCTATTGTTCAAGTGAGCGTTTCTTTCCACGCGGAGGTCTATAGCAGTGAATATCTTCAAGGTGGTAAGACAACTCCGCCAAGGACTCAAACTCATGAGTACATGCCGGGTGACGACAGTGAAAGTCACCGAGTAGAGCTTCACTGCTCAGATGAGATTGAACGTGTCTGTACCACTTAACCATATCCAAGTGTTGTTCCATCCGTTTGGTAGACCATAAGCTGTTATCGCCCAAGCAGAATGGGCAATAGCCAGGCTTGACTGGACAGTTCCGGAAAATTATGGGGTCACATCGAAGCAAATCACACGGGTTGCAGAGATGAGCCTCGCAATGCTCATGCCAGTCTTGCCGATTATTGAACCACTCGCCGCATTCGAAGCAAAACTCCGCAAAACCATCATTACCCATTCGGCCTATTGCTTTTGACATGCAACGATACAGATGAAGCCATTGTCGGTGCGGATGGAACCTATCAGGTCAGTCTTGTTAGGACATAAATAAGAGCATGCCTACCTGTCTAACGATTTATCACATGTACACCTTCTGTCGACTGGCTTTAGACCAGAACGAAAGGCAACTTGATGGTGTTCTCTGCAGATTCGTTCTAGCGCCAGTATAGCTTCTCGTCCTGTTGAGCTTCGTATGGATGACCTTGTAGGCAAAAGCCGGGCGAGAAGGTCACGCTCTGGCATAGCGCGTCGATGATAGAGAAAAATAGTATGTTCATAAACACTTCCCGCTTGAGAAGTCTGCTGGAGATGACGTTGTCGTTTTAGTTCCTCTAGATATAGCTTGTCCTTTTGACTCTTGACACGGCGGCACTGTAGCCGGATCTTTTGAGCAGTTTCGAGATCATTCACGCTTTCAAGATGTTTCTTGAGGGACATTGATTCTTTGTCAAGGGCTATAACCTCATCTCTTTCTTGGAACTCAAACTCCGCTTTCGCGGGTAGTGATTGCCACAGATTGGTCTTTCGGTACAAGCCCATACTCCGTCGATTTTGAATATGCTCATGGCGAGATGCGATATTCAAGTAAGTTGCCGGCCCATCTACTTCGCATACTGGGTGGGCATATGACCTGCCAAAGGTGCGAGGTTCGACGTGTCCGGCTTGTTTCATGCGGGCTGCTTGAGAATACTTTTTATCTATAGCACGTTAGCACTTAGACGTGGACTTCAGATCAAGGTATTTTCTTGCCCGCTTCCATGAGATTCCACCGGCGGCACGCACGGGCGGTAACATTCCGACTATATCCGCTTCGATGACCGAGGTCTGCAAACTCTTTTCCGAAGGCGTCAGCACCCTTCGCTCTTCCGGTGGAGCGTTCACAGTCAAGTTCGTCGAATGGCCTGAAAATTGGAACATCGAAGAGGTCATCGCGGAAATGAATAACCGAGATAATGTGGTTATCTCGTGTGGCTAGGTCAGTGAGCTTGATTGAGTCGACTGCATCGAGTATATCAGAACAAGAATTGTACTGGAGGAAAGCCCGGTCACCAGAAAACAGTGGCAGCATAAACAGAATGAAATTGAAGAATAGCGGTACCTCCTCCCTGTACACCTCATAAAAGGCGTGCACAGGAAGTTCCCATCTCTTCATCCGCCAATAGCCTTTGATGTACTCCCGAGAATATGTCAAAACTAGCATCGGGGTTTGATCGACCAACTCTATAGTGAGCACAAAATGCTACACACTATTAGCAACGCAGCTTCGATAAATTTGAATGCGAAGTACGAACCTTGTAGCATGCTGCCATGACGTTAGCGCGAAGAACGGAGTCTTCATCGTCGCTTTGTTTCTGACGAGCAATGCTTCGGCGGGCTGTCGACTCATGGACTTCTCCAGTTCTGGCAGAGGAAAAGCAATATAGCAGTATTGATGCCGAGAGCTGTACTCTACTCCGGTCAGGATAACAGCCTCGGTATTCTTTGAAGTCCCTACACCAGAGCTGTGTTTTGAGAACGAGCAAATCATTTGGAGAAAAGCCATCTTTGGGCTTCTCGACATTTGGAAGACCCAGATTATTTGCCAGATCTGATATGATATACTATGAGTCTCGTTAGTATCTTATGTAGACGCAGCTGAAGCGAACGAACCTCCTTCATTGTTGTGGACATGCTTTGGGGGACATGGAAGTCCCGCTTCCGGGCCAAGCCTGCCTCAAAGTGCCGTCGAAAATTTTCAATAGTATCAGGTACAGGCTTCTCCTCGATTCGCCCATCCGTGTTTCTGGCTACGAACTCAAGGAAGGCTTTGTAGGTCTGGATGTCAGGGGGAGATCGGGCGGTGGGATGCAGCTCTAGGAATCTAGAAACATCAGCGGAGATTCTCTGTGAGCTAGAAGAGTTTATCTACCGGTCAAATATCCCAAGAGTCTTTTCATAATCCGCCTCTGTCTTGGGAAGAACGGCTCGTTTTATCTCTTTGTTGTCGTGGTCATCAAGGTTGACCACGCGCGTAAATCTCCCCGCTAGATTTTGACGCATATTGATCGAGTAACCCGGAGCATGAAAGGATGAAAGGCGGGAGGGGGTGAGGGTGTAAGCATCATGTTTATAACGTCGTGCCTACCCCTCCTTTCCACCTTTTTGTATTAATGTCAAAATGTGACTTCTGGTAGTCTGGGTGCAAATTATTCAGGGGACTGAAGGCTTCGCCCGAAGCCGCCGGAGCGTCGGCGTCAAAGCGGCAAGCCTGCTGGCGCTGGGGTGGGTGACCACCGACATATACCGGCTGTTGTATGTTTTTGCTGTTCTTTTTTTGTTCTCCTTTCTAGATCAATCAGGGAGTCATCTAAATAGACATCTTGCTGCTTCTAAAGAGCATTTGGGGCTTGCATGCTGAATCTGCCAGGTTCACTGGGTACTGTATACAAACACATTCGGTAATCAATCCTATATCGAGACCCACAGACTAACCACTGACGGTAGATAGTAGTTTAATCAACAAGGACCTAGATCGTGAAACATTGTTAGCGTGTACTCCAAACGTCCCCACAAAAGAAATCGGCGGCTTTGACGAGGGATACACTATTGTATGCAAGATCAACAAACTGTCCTTGATATGATTGATATCTTGATTAGAATTGGGCAAGAGCGGCCGCTCTCTAGAACTTCGTCTATGTCGTTACAAATTCAAGGTCCCGCAAAACAGATGAAGAATTTTGTGTTGCTTCAACTAGAAAACTCCGTTTCCTGCATTCGTTCAAGGTATGACATAATAATTCGATATGCAGGTGGGCGGACGCACCGGTGCGGGACCCGCGATCCCGGACCTTGTAGGGGGCTATCTGCGGAATTTCAAACCTTCTGTGATGATCCTACTTGCAACATTGTCATTTCTGTACGTAAGATCACTGTCGCTCATCGTGGTTCAATAAATCCTGGCTCTACACTTCTCCTCTCTCAAACTTTTCAGAGCATTTTCCAAACAGCTCGCATCCTCTTGCACTATGACCCTGGATAATCGTGCGCAAGTAATTATTATCGGTGCCGGCCTGTCGGGTCTCACAGCTGCCGCAGAACTGAATCGTCAAGGGATTGATGTCAATGTACTCGAAGCATCATCCGATATAGGCGGTAGGGTCAATTCGGCCACCACCAAACTCGGGTCCCATCTGGACCTTGGAGGGCAATGGATTGGGCACGGACATGATCGCATCACTGCTCTGGTAGAAAAGGCAAGAGGTACGACATATCAGACGTTCTCATGCGGTTTACCGATGCTTGTTCGGGAAGGTCGCACCGTGTCTCTGTTTTCTTCATCGGCGCTTCTTGCGACTATCTATCTCGTTATTCTCGAGCTAGCGAGCCGGATCTATGTTCCGCAGGGCTGGATCGAACTCTCAGTGGACAAAGCTATTGCAACATTCGTCCCTTTGGAGATTGCTCGACAGCTCCTTCGTCTCCTCGTCACAGTTTCTTCTACCGCGGAATTGAGCATGTTCTCGACTTACAGCTTTGCGAAATCAATTGCTCTATCTGGAGGGTTATCGACAATGTTACGGACGCAAGGCGGAGCTCAAGACAGTTTGGTGGTGGAGTCTATGGGCATCACTACTTCTATGTTAGCCAACGAGCTCCCCCGGAAAGTTCTAACCGACATGCCGGTCACCAGCGTGTCGCAAAATGATAGCGATGGAGTGACTGTACGTACAGCGTCAGGCGAACAGTTCCACGCCAGAAAAGCCATCATTACAATTCCACCGCCAATGCTGAGAGGCATCACGTTTGATCCGCCACTGCCCCCCGAACGCATAGCGCTTCAAGAAAATACCCGCATGGGCGTCGTCTACAAAGCCATTGCTGTTTTCGAGGAGCCCTTCTGGCGCGAGGGATTAGGCGGAGAATTTCTCGTGCTTGACGACCCTGCATGCGGCGTCTTCGATTCTTCGTCGCCTGGAGGCCCGGGTCACTTGTGCTTCCTAGTCGCCGGCACCCCTGCACGCCAGCTCGACACGCTTGACTCAAATGTGCGGCGCGAAATGCTGTTGTCTCGACTTGCTCCACATCTCGGGCGTCGAGTTCTCCAGCCCGTGGAATGGCACGAAAAAGCATGGCATCTAGACGAGTTTTGCGGTGGTGGGTATCTAGCATATGGCATTGTTGGTACGAGTGATGGGCTTCTACCGATGCCCCATGACCCGATCAATGATTTGCACTGGGCAGGAACGGAGACGGCGCAGGAGCATCCCGGATATCTTGAAGGAGCCGTGCAGTCGGGCGAGCGTGCCGCCCATGAGGTCGCTTGTGCTCTTCGTAGAGCGCACGCTGACAGTAATGAAATATTTGCCAGTTGAATGATAATGATAGTTAAAGACACTTAGTATAGTGAATGTATATAGACGGAATATATCGCCGCTTATCGGCGGCATCTTGGTAAAGCACCAGCGCAGAAAGCGGGGTCTGCCGAGGGCGGTAAGACTGATATAAACATGGCTTAATCTCTGCAAACCTGAGAGATCTATGAATAAATTCTGCTTAAGTGTGCTGGAATAGAATGTCCTTGCATTCACGATATGTGATAGTATTTAGTGTTGTTATTTCCTGAACATCCTTCGCCTTATTCTTCATTTTTTTTTTTTTTCAAAGAAAAATGATACGCCCATATACACCAAAGTCCTGCATTCTGCCGCCATGATCTTGAGGTTTTGTTGCGGATTAGCCGTAATAGTCTAGTCTGGATATGGCTTTAGCGTATGATATGGGCTTATAGATCGGGGCGGTAAGTCACTTTCAGCTGAACAATCATTCACTCAGCCCCGCATCATTTACTCTTGCCTCCAGGAATCAAGAGGCCGACTGCAAACCAGGACAAGGTGTGTAGTTGGGCCTGACAAGTACAACCACTTCGATGTGCAATTGATCATATGCAGCTCGACAATCTGGTCAAAATCTCCCGAGATTGGCAAGGGTCATTCATGCCAGTGCCGAAGTTCCATTCATCCTACATGATCGCTGCCATGTGTTAGGTAGCAATGGCTACAGAGGATCCAATAGACTTTGCACACACTGCTATTCTTCAGGTCGCGCATATCGCGTCTTCATTGGGAGTCGAGTTGAAGCGACCGGTGTGTGCGCGTCTTGGGGCGGAATTGTTGCTGGTCGCCGACTACATCGACACCGTTGGCCTGGACCAGGAGAATCGACTACGACTGCGGATATCGAAACTGCTACGTGACGTGGAGACTATATGTAATGTGAGTTTGCCATATAAGGGCTTTGCATGAATGGAGGAACTAATAACTCAAACCAGTGGCCGCACCAAATACAAAAGAATGGGTACCCGCTTCTGGAAGCCATAGGGGAGTCTTTACAAGGGATGACCTCCTATGAGAAGGCTCAATCTAAAATCAGAAGAGGCCTTGATAACCTAACTAAAGACTCCCGCAATACGGAAGGAGTCATTGCACATATTGCAAAGTTCACAAAACGCGATCGGAAAGCATCGAGACGAGATGTTGGCGACGATACCACCTCGACAAAACGAACAGCTCAACCCCAGTGCTCCAAACACGCCAACGAGATTGTCCATCGAACTCTGAGAGAAGTTATGTGCTGTACATGTCCCATTGAGGGACTAGGAAAATCAACGCCGAAAGAACATCTAGCATGTCTCTTGCTACAGCCGCCCTCTCAGCAAGGCACAGGCCATGAACTAGTGCAGTTCGAGATGCTGTTCTCGTCAACCCCATTTTGGCAAGGATTACGATTGAGCCACTGGCAGGAAGTGGAGCTACTCGTTCCGAGAAGCAGCTATACAAGTACCAGGAAACGCGCCCGGTTCGCTGATGCGGACGACGCGTCCCAAAACACGCCAAGCCTCCTATCGTCGAGACGACTTTCTCGAGTTGACAGAGGACAGTTTTGTCGCCTTATAGGTGTCGAAGCTGACTCGCGACTTTGTCTCTCGGTTCAGAACGAAGAACTACAACACTGCTTTGAGCCGCCTAGACAGAACGTTAAGCATGTGCCCGGTATTCCTCTAGCGACCATACTCCGCAATCATCATCTACCACCGCGAATGAAGGTTGTATTGGCTTACATCATCGCCTACTCTGTTTGGCAATACTACGACTCGGACTGGATGAAAACAGAATGGACAAGTGAGACCATACAATTCATGAAGGAGGCGAGGGCCCCAGATGACCAAGAAAAGGTATACACTTGGAAGCCCTATCTTTCAGTGCACTTTAACAGCGATGACCCGGAGTGCAACGAATTCAACAAAACCCTCGGTGGTGTTCATTACTACCCAAGAATTAGAGCCCTTGGGATTATGCTAGTTGAGATTGGCATTGGATTCCCTCTGTTCAAAGAGAACAACCAGGGCCAGCCCTTGGCTGCCAGAATCAACAAAGAACTACTCACAGCCCTCGGCTATACGCGAGATCGCGCGCGATGGAGAGATTTCGATTACCCAGGGTATATGAGCGCGATCAGTCATTGCTTGGAGCCGGACACGTTCAACATGGCGCCATTTGTGGAAGGTGCAAGTTCGCGGGAATGGAAGGAAGGCCTGAAACAACGGAGAAACATACTATACGATAAGGTCGTATTTCCACTGGAAGAACTGCTCCAGGGCACCAAGTGGATGAATGACTATACCAAAATCGACCCATTGGATGTAACTAGGAAGGTTACGAAGCTTGAACAATCAGCGATGCCCGAAGATACCGAAGAACGCAAAGTCCCGAAGAAGAAGCGCACTCCAACCGAGAGGGCGGCTGCTAGATGGCTTTCGCGCCTCGAAGAGTTTCACAAAGAGCTCACTCAAGTCGCGTCAACAGTTGGTCTCCGCACCCCAGAGCGCCCAGTGCGCATTGCAATCCTGGATACTGGGTATGATGAGGGAGCGCCGTTCTTCTATCTTCCTGGTGTTCAATCCCGGTTAAAAGGATGGAAGGACTGGGTTGATCAATCCGATATGCCTCAGGATTGCGATGGACATGGAACTCACCTGGTGTCTCTGATCATGAAATGTGCACCGGAGGCGGAACTATATGTGGCACGTATTGCTAAGGATGCGAAGGTCTTTTCAGATGCCAGTGAAAATATTGCGAGTGTAAGTGGCATTGACTTTCTCTCATTCAACAAGGCCTAACATCATTTGACTGACTTTGCATGGAAGGCAATCTTATGGGCAAGCACGGAATGGGAAGCCGACATAATCTCCATGTCCTTCGGTTTCGCAGACGAGCAGCCATGCATCAGCCAGGCTATCCACGAGGCCCTCTACCGACGTAATCATTCAACACTTTTCTTCGCAGCAGCCTCCAACTTCGGCGGAAATGGTAGAGAGATGTTCCCCGCCCGCCACGACGCGGTCATTTCGATCCGCGCAACAAATGCCAACGGCGATTTCGAAGACTCCAACCCCCCCAAAAGCGAGGACGAAGCAAATGTGTTTGGCACGTTGGGCGTGGATGTGCCATCAGCATGGCCGGATCGCGTTGATGAGGTCTACAAGTCCGGTTCGTCAATCTCTACGGCTATAGCAGCCGGGATCGCAGGATTTCTGCTGGAATACATCGGTGCCCATCCACCGGATAAGCCATTTTATGCTGTTCAGCGCAGAGCTTGGACACGAAAGGGAATGCACGCGATTTTCAAGGCTTTGGCTTCCGACACTTTGAGGGTCAAGACGGGGTATCTGTACCTGAAGGTATGGGATCTGATCGGGCAGTCGGAGGACTCCCGTTGGGCCAAGTTGGGGACAGCACTCTCGGACCTTTGAACATAGAATCAGATTCATAGTATATATTCATGTTGAAACTATGCAGCGAACATGATCATGGGTTTCCCCAACCTCTGAGACAGCGAAGCCTCCTGCATCGCGACCGCCTGGTAGCTTATCGGTGGAGATTGGACTAACCACCACCTCTTCCAACCCTTGCACTTCCTGTTCGTCTTCCACCTCGTCATCTGTATCATCTTCCTCATCATTGCTTAATAGAGCACTCTTATGCCTCAATTCATCATAGATGATTCGATCTCCTTTCCAGCCCTTGATCTCAATTTTGAGAAGCTGGTAAGCAAAGACGATGTCCTCCCCGGCTTTCCACTGATCCGCCTTCTCGGTGCTCGTAGATCGCGCCAAACCAGCTCCAGCACCAACCTGACCGACCGGCGAAGGGGCATTTCCACTAAGCTCAACCTCTCCGCCGCGTCGTTGCGTATTTTCCAGGTCGGCAGAGAACCCCTTGGCAACCATAAGACCCGTAACCATGTAAACGGGTGTCCTGAACCCAGGGATCCTACCCGCCTTAGTGACTGCCTGAACCATGGGAGCTCTCAAACGCGATTGGATCTCTTCGAGTGTAGGATCATTCACGAAAAACATGGACTGTAGGGAGTGCATCGTATATGTTGACTGCACGTCACTGCCCCGACTGCCCGAGACTTTCGCGGACACACTGTTCAGAAATTCCGCCCACACGCTCATCGAGACATCGCGACTGTTTCCGCGAGTGATGCTTCGCTCATAGTCGGTAAATGTTTCAACCCGCGGATATCTTGTTTGTAATATTGTCGCATCGACGGTCGTGAGCGCTCGGTGCGGTCTTAGCGGATCGGCTATGATGTTGCCCAAGGCGATCGGGCCTGTGCCGGGTTTGAAATGGAAGTTGGGGGCGAGAATGTAAGTTGGTTGTTGCGCCATGCTGTACTATCGAGGGATAGATAGCCCTGTTCCTCCGGGGAGTAGGAGTAGGTTGTCTCGCGTTCAGCTCCAGCGCCAGCCTTCGCGCTCGGTGAAGCCACGTGATCTGATCGGCGTGGGGTCATGAAATGGTGGGGGAAAGAGCAATGAGCAACGCACTCTCGACATCCAAGTTGACGGAGCCGCTTTTGGGAGTTCGGGACTGCACGAGGCGGCTGTGATGGGAGAGTTGCCCAAACCAAGCGTCATCATTCCCATCACAACAGTTTTCAGCAGTCTAGACTCAAAATCATGACCTGAATAGTCTCAGCCGATCGTGCGATCTGCCCCTCGTTGGGATCCACAGGCATTACCAAAGGTGTTGACAATATAACGGGATCTAGAGTCTTCTCACGAGCTCATGATCACCATGGAGATTTCTAGCTCCATCGCAGAGTCTGCCCAGCGATGCATTCATGGCTTGACCGGATGTCTGGCTATCCCAGCCTTGATGGAAAATGAATGGGCGGAAAATCGCCTCGCTGATATGAATTTGTGGATTTCAGGAACAGGAGCTTGCGCCCGAGGACGAGCATCTCTAGACTCGAGGCTGGCATCGAAGCCTGAAGCGCGTGATGTCATCACCAACTTACTACGCCTTCTCGCGGCAGTGATTGACGAATGCAAATCACGAGGTCAAGCACCCGGCCTTGACAACAGGCAAGAATCATCTCCGAGTCTTGAGGAGACTAGCGGTCGCGCGTTTTCTCCTTGGTCTGATGATTCCAGTTCAGATGACGAATCGAAGGATGGATACGAAAGGAAACTCCCTTCTAAGTCTCCGCTGCAAGAGTCCATGTACAACGTCGAGTCCATGGAGGATCAGCTTGCGAGGATTGCGGTAGCTATTCGACGTTCTGGGAGGCGTTCTCGCTTACAAAAGGCTGATCAGCAATTTGATCCAACAGAGCATGAGGAACTAGAGGGTTATTTAATTTCTATGCTGCATACGCATCTAAAACACATGCACAAAACTCGAGACGCGTCAACACTAAATGAAGTGCAGCTGAGGCTTGTGCGCTGCAACTTGAAGCGCCGAAATCGTTTCCTCTATGCACAGAGACATTCCAAAGGCCTGGACGGAGTCATCATGCGACCTCCAGACAGAAAACCTGCAGCAAACAGACAAGAAAGCGCGAATCAAGACGATATAATTGATCACAGTGATAATTCAAACTTGCCCAAAATCGAGCATCAGAACCCCAACAGCACTGTAATCACCGGGACCAGCGCCTCGGCATTGTCCGATTCATTCATGATGCCCCATACAGCACCCGCAGCTCCTGCTGCATCCTCGGTCATGTCAACTACAGTCATTGATCTTGACTACCCTCATCCTCCACGATTTCATGAGGACGCACATCTGTTTAGATGCCCATGTTGCTGCGAAGCAATCCCGGTTGCTCTTGCCGACAAAAATAAGTGGAGGTAAGCCTCTATCCCAATGCTTTTTCAGCACGACCGCAAGACTAAGTTGACTAGAAAACATATCGCAGACGACTTAAGCCCTTATACCTGTGTTTTGACTGGATGTGATCAGCCAGATGTGCTCTTCAACACAAAGGAAGCAGGGAAACAGCACCTTTTGAAAGATCACAGCAGTATGACATACTGGATTTGCTTTGCCTGTGGGAACGGGGCTCGTTACTACAACATGGAAGATCTCATTCAACACACAAGTTCCAGTCATTCGTCATCTATTCCATCCGATCAAATCGCGTCGCTTGTTGACATGTGCAAAAAGTCCACACCTACGCAAATTTCACAGTGCCCTTTGTGCAACTGGCCAGAGAAAGGAGAGGAGGTCGAGAAAGATGCGTTACTCAACCACATTGCAAAGGAAATTCATTCTTTCTCGCTCAGGGCACTACCATGGGCTGATGATCATGGTGAAGAAAGCCAGGAGAGAATACATAATAGTTCCCGAAGAGTCCAAAATTGGCTGTTTGGCCGTGACTCTCAACAAACGAATAGCCAAGAAACACCGTCATTTGCAAAGACAGCCTCAGGACCGGAGTATTTTGAGCAGAACTCTTACTTTGCAGGAAGCTCCAGAGACTCGTCCTCGAGCGAGCCTGATTCTGATGGATCCAGACAATTAGAGCTAGAAGAATTGAGAAAGAACGGGGAATTGGGGGCCGACGAATCGCACCAGGATGATGAAGCACAATCTGCAGGGCAAAAGACCCAGCATGATGAAGGTCTAGGCAGTTCAGCTGATTCGAATCTGTCGGGCGACCTCAAACCACCACCCGACTTGCAACAATTCAAAACTCCGCGAGAGAAGATCAACGCGTTGATCGCATGGTTTGACCAAGTGATGATCCCGCGTTGTGAGCAATATGTTGCGGAGCCGCCAGGCGACTCGGAAACGCAGTACGATGAATATAGAAAGCTCAGAGAGGCAATTTTCACACATGTCCTGGGAAGAGCGGATGAAATTAAACCAGACGAGAAATACAGTCTCCGTCGTGATCGCCGTATTCTCTTGGAGAGAGTAAAAAAGACCCTGACCAATCTGGAATCCACAGTTGATGAAAAACACAAGGCGGACGAGCAGTGCCCTCATCCTGAATGTGCTGGACATGCCTTCAAAGACCTGAAAGCCCACATGCTCACTCACCAGGTCGACAGGCCAGAAAAGTGTCCGGTTGTGACCTGCGAGTACCATGTCAAAGGCTTTTCTCGCAAATACGACTGTAACCGCCACGCTCTGACCCACTATAAAGGCACGATTGTCTGCGGTTTCTGCTCCCCAGCCGAAACTCTAGTGAAGAAGGTTTTCGAGCGTGTCGATGTGTTCAAGCGCCATCTTATCTCTGTTCACGATGTGGAGCACACCCCACCAAACTCCCGCAAAGACGTGCTCAACAAAGGTCTTAAATTCGCGAGCGATGCTACTGGCAAGTGCTCTATTTGCTCAATGACATTCAGCAATGCCCAGGATTTCTACGAGCATCTGGACGAGTGTGGCCTGCGCGCAGTGCAAAAGCAGTCTAATGGCGCCGAGATCGTTCCTTCTTACGATGCCGAAGCCGATGCAGATACCATATCCTTTGCCCTAGACCATGATCAAACCATCTACAACAGAGTGCTCATTCAGATTCTCCCGGCTCTATCCGGCAACGAGATCCTCCTTTTACACCAGGCATACAAAGACCGCGTGAAGTTGGACGGCAAGGGCGTCAGCCTCGCTAAACACCTCCAACAGAAATTAGGCACTTCCAGCTTTGGTAAGGTTTGCCATGCTACTGCCCTGGGGCGCTGGGAATCAGAGGCATACTGGATAAGTCGTTATTACGAAGAAAGCCCCTATCGTCGTGAACTACTCATTGAAACCCTAGTCGGACGCTCAAATAACGCAGTTCGCCAGATTAAGGAGTGCTTTCGGAATCCTCAGTACCAAAGTACTCTAGAGCACTCGGTGCGCTCTAAACTCCGTGAGGGCAATTTCCAAAAGGCTGTATTGCTTGTACTGGAAGAACGACGCCAGGACGATAATGAGCTATATGATCCGAGACTTGTGGATCAAGATGTCACGGATTTGTATCATGCACTGCACTCTCACGAGGACGGAGAGACTGCCATGATCAATATTATTGTTACTCGAAGTAACACTCATCTACGTGTGATGCTAAACATGTATGAGAGAAACCATGGGGAGATTCTCATGGTAGCCATTCGTGCTAAGTCAAACAATCTAGTGGTATGGCTAATTCCTAGCAATCTTCGCTCATCCGACAACTATGTGCTGTTGCTTCCCCTGATAGAAACGTTTCCTTTGACATACAACATGGTTCTAATGAATGATTTTGATTTCTATATAGGGAGAAGTTCTCACCCACATCCTCAATGGCGCAATCAACAGACCTCGGCGTGACGCCGTTCTTCTTTATCAAGCTATCCGCGAACCGCCCACTTCTGACTATCGATCCGACCTCATAATTTCACGTCTGGTTCGGCTCCACTGGGAACCACAGCATTTGGAACAGGTGAAGAATGAATATAGCAGGCGATACCAGGAGCTTGTTGAGGAGGCCATTGCGGAGCAGCTGGCATCACCCGAAGAGAGAGATTGGCGGGACTTTTGTATTGAGCTTGTGCGTAGCTCAGCTGCTAGTAAGTGAAAGGATGGTTCATGAAATCGGGTCAATGATCTCGTGGACTTTTGTCACTATGTTTACTCGTGAGCATCGAGCTCGATGAATTACAACTCTTCAGATAATGCAACAGGATCCAGATTTAGATGCAACCCCTTGAAAGTCAGAAAAGGCAGGAAGCATTAGGATTGCTATCGAGTGGTACAGGTTGCAGCTCGGATAGGTCCGTTTTTTAGTGCCGCGAGTCGAAAATGGCGCTAGTGGATCACGTGACCCACACCCGAGAGTCTCAAAATTTCGACTCGCGCGAACTTTTTCAACATTTTACAAGTACTTAGTAAGTAGTTACTAACTACTTAGTATAGAAAGTACTTAGAAAACAGTTTCCAAGTACTTAGCAAGTACTTGTAGAGTATATATTAGGAATTACGTAGGGTAATTAGGGATTACATAGGATAGTAGGTAGGCTGCGGCAGCATCGGACGGATCGTACGATAATATCATATCGTATCGTATCGCAGCCGACATCGATATGATTACAATATTTAGATTTTTTGTCTGATACAACTAGACTTCATCAGAGCCCACGAAAGCCCAAGCCCAACCCAACCCAGCCCACAAATGGGCTGGGCTTTGGGCCAGGTTTTAGGGCCCATAATGGGCTATGGGCTGAGCCCAGGGGCCCACGGCCATTAGATGGGGCCCAAATGGGCCCCCAAACTAGGCTAAACAGTGCAAACATGCTCCGATCTCATGACTGCATAATTTATGCATTTTTTAGCTGTAATATTGAGTATTTCTCTTACATTATTTCTCTTGAAAAGCAATCATTGACTCGTTGTAATGTCTACTTCGCCTGGTTATATCTTATATTCTTACTTGCTGAAGCGGTCAGCGTGCAGAGATTAGTTATTAAGATACTATTTAAAAAGCAGTAATTCAATATATTAATGATACTCAAACTCATCATCCTCCCTATTCTTCCTCTTTCTGAATCTTCCTGAAGCTCGTGTTTGTGTGATATTCTCTGGTAACTCAGGCTCTGTATGGCTCTGTATCACTGCTACTTCTTCATCTTCTTGCTCCTCAGTGTCACTAATCGGCCCTATCTCAACCTCCTCTAAATTCTCATCCTTCTCTTCCTTTGCTGCCTCGATCTCGTAGATAGAGAAGAATTCCTTGAGAAATTCTGCCTCTTGGTCTTCGAGATCAAATCTTGATGTACAAAGAAACATCATAATCTCCTCAATTGTCTCAGACTTCATCCGACCGCGGCGGTAATGACAGATATCTCGAGCAGTATTGAAAAGTCGTTCAACACCAGCACCTGTTGCTGGAATAGAGAGAATATCCCGTGCAAGGGCTGCAATAGCTGGAAATCGATATTCATTATCTCTCCAGAATTGAAGGGGCTCCATATCAATAGTGTCTTCAAGGATATTAGTATATGATTAAGAAAAATAACGTGTTTAACATACCACTATTAAGATATTGAGTCATTTCATCCCTCACTGGCTTTGGCTGTGGTTTGTGCTCATTCAACATCTTTTTAAGCCTTGAGCTTGGTCTGGCTGTGGTAAGGGGAGTAGCAGAGCCTTGAATAGTAGAGAGACGTTCTTGATAAGGAATCAGAGCTTCTTGGAAAGATATCCGGTAAAGTTCACGTTATTGTTTATCCCAATCATCAGATAGAAAGAATTGGAACTTGTTATCAGAGGCAAGCATTGTGTTAATCGCATAGATATGTGGTTTAACTCTATCTGTCTGCGAGTAGTACTCATCAAGCTTTGATCGACCAGCTTCAAGAGAATCAAGCATCTGTTTTTTTCATGGAACACACTTCCGCCGGAGCTGCTTCATTAGTTTTTCAAGATGCTCAAAGAGCGCATTATAGATCTTGAAGACGAGGTGTATTGTAATCTCTCGAGTCTTTGATAGCTCAGTTGTATAGAGAAAGAACGGCTCAGTAATATAGAGAAGATAGTCGATTTGGCGCCACTTCTCATTATTTGGTACCATCTCTTCGCAATCATAGTCCGCACAAAATTGTGTAAAGATATCGCGGAGTCGTTTCGCGCGACGGAGCATGAGAAAGGTTGAATTCCATCGAGTTCTTACATCTTGGATTGGTGAAAGCTTGAGACTGTCTGTTTGGAGACTGTTGAATGTCTCCCGGCGTGAAGGGCTTCCGTGGATATAAATTGCCAGAGAGCGGACCTTGTTCAAGGTATAAGAGATCTCATGCTTCTGGTGCTGTGTATTTGCCTTGATTGAAGATGACAGCCGATCAGTCCACTTTGTTTCTGTAGTATTGTTTTGTGGAACTGCTCTGAGACGGTCAAGAAGCTGGTTCAGGCTAAGTTGGATAACATGAGCAAGACAAGAAGTTCGGATAATATTAACATCATTAGATAAAGCCTGCTCGAGGGAATCAGCCAGTGTTTTGTTATTTGATGCATTATCACTAGTTAATCCAAAGACCTGATCTTGAATCTGATGACTATTCAGTGTTTCAAGAACAACACTGCTCATGTTTAAACCAGTATGTGCTCCATGAAGAGGTTTAAAGCCAAGAAGTACTTCCCGATATACCCAATCAGCATCAATAAAGTAGCCAGTTATAGCTAGAAATGCCTGGGAAAATGGAGATGTCCAACTGTCAAGCGCAATTGATATCTTTGAACCTGAAGGAAGCATCCTAAGGACCCTTTGTTGCCGGTCTTTGACTAGCACTTCTAGCCGACGACGGATCGTCATTGCAGATGGGATTTGTGGCATATTGGGTGCATTGTGGGCCATCTTAATCAAGCTTATAAATGTTGGATGCTCGATTAGATAAAAAGGAAGCCGATTAATTGTAAGAAATGATAAAATCTTTTCCTCCCAGGCTGGTTGTGAGAAAGGAACGTCAGTCGGAGCAGATTCCTAGTAGAATAATTAATTATTAGTTAAAGAAGTATAATAATAGAATATTAGATATACCCTTTTTTGTAGGAATTTTATGATTTCATCCTTCTGTCTGTTCTCAAACCGTTGGCACGCAGCGGTCTTTAGGTGCCTTGTCATTGTTGATAAGCCATGACGCCCTTCCTTCCCTTTAATGTCCTTTTTCATAGAGTAAGGATGTTCAAGGATTTGGCTGCAGCGTTTACACATGACCTTTGGGGCGCCGTCTATACTAGAAGCGACCTGATCATATTGCTTCCAAATATCTGAAAGATGGTTTGAGTCCCAATGTATCTTGCTTTTAGACCCATAATCAGTTTGTAACCACCAGTCTACCCATTCACTATGAATCATTTCGTTGTAAAGCACATATGCCTTTCTTCGATCAGGCCCGACGCGTTCAAGAGAGGATGGAATTGTAAGAGGAATAGCTGGTCGAATAAATGAAGACGTCGAAGGATCAAGGGCATCAAATGGATGCTGGCTGCCAGATGGAGTAGCTGCGTAATTTGAAGAAGTCAGAAACGTTAGATTATCTATCTCTGCATCATAAAGAGATGATGCAAAGTCAGATTGCTGGCTTTGGGACATGATAAAGTAAGTATACAACACATAAATAAAGAAAAAAAGAAGGGTAAAGGAGATAGATACATGACTAGAAGAAGGATTTCTAATAATTTGATTTACTTAGCTGTTGATAGTAAGTCACACAAACAAGCCTACATATCACAAGTGAAGTGTATTTGGCCCAACGAGGCCCAACGAGGCCCAACAAAGCCCATCAGGGCCCATGAATAGCCCAAGAAACCCCACAAAGAGCCCACGAAAGCCCACGAAAGCCCACGAATAGCCCACGAAAGCCCACGAATAGCCCACGAAAGCCCACGAAAGCCCACGAAAGCCCACGAAAGCCCACGAAAGCCCACGAAAGCCCACGAAAGCCCACGAAAGCCCACGAAAGCCCACGAACAGCCCACTGATAGCCCATTCCCAGCCCAACTTGGTTTTAGATACCCTCAAAATATTTTCATCCGGTCAGATATATAGATAGAATACTGATACAAAGAGCTAAATTCCTTCAAATTCACTTCTTTATACTGTCGTTTATGATTAGAATTCTAAAATAGAGAAAATGAGCTTTCATTTCGTGTAGAGAATAAACAAATCAGAATAAGCAGAAGTAACTTCTTTTTTACTTTTTCTCTTGTCAAGAAGATACACACACCCTTTTATATTTGAAATATATATCTAGACAAGTTTACATTAACTCCATCCACGAATCACCCGTACACCACCATAACAATCGGAATATAGGATTTTTATAAGTAAATAGCTTAAAATAAGCTTTACTTTCTTTAATTCGAAGAGGATTTCCTAGAATTTCCTACTGCTTTAGGCAAGGTTACAAAGAAGTTCAGTCGACAAACTGGAACAGATGTAAAAAACAGTATTTTATTTTGATTATTTAGCAGCTTTATGAACGCCAAGACCAAGATTTTATGCAAAATTGGGCTTTTGCGGGGGCCCATTGGGGGCCCATCGTGGGCCTGATGGTTGGGCTTGGGCCTGAAATCTGGGCCATCAGCCCACAGTGGGTTGGGCCATGGGCCCAAGAGTTAGGCCCATTTGTGGGCTCTGATGAAGTCTAGATACAACTACGATATTTAATTTAAATTGTTGAATAATTGTCCGATATCTATTCGATAACAAATATTATAAACAATCCAAGATTTCTAATCCGAACGAATTGACATAGGTTATGCATTTTTTACAGTATTTTTGAAATATTCAATATGTAATTGATTTCATATTTATTGGTGTGAATTTGTGTTTTATGATTTTTTTTGTTAATTAATATATTTTGTTATTCTTTATTACAATAATGAATATTTAATTGTTCAAAATTATATTACAGATTATTAAATTCAAATCTGTTTAATTGTTTTAATTTTTTCAAATTCTTTCCGATCGCCCCTGCGTGTATTTTTTAGTTGACATTTCAAAAAGTGAAAAATCATTATCACTATTTTTTTGAGTCTTAACGGCACTATGAGACTGTTTGTATTATGATTGTTTGTTTT